AAATTAAATAATTTTTTACACCAAAAGTTGTATTATCAGTAAATTCAAAGTTGTAAATACTTTTTACAAAATTTATGATAAAGCTTCTATTATAGAATGTAAATAGTTCGCGCTTTAAATAATATTGAGAACCAATAACTGGTGATTGAACATTGTTTTTCAAGGGGACAAGTATGAACACACAATTATAATATAACATTTTATAATACTATTAATACTACTACTTATAATACTATTAATACTAGAATTGTCTAGTGTATTTGTATAAATTCATACTGAAATATTTAGGTAATAAGATCAACTTTTGTCGATTGTAGGATTTCATTTACCTAATAGATGGAATTCAAATTTGTTTATCTAATTGTAAACAATTTTTTCTACGATTTATAGCATATACACTGTGACATGACGTTTTCCATCCGTCACAAGGGTCGCACGACCCGACCAAATAATGCAGTCTGGTTTTTGAGTCCTTCCACATTTTAGAGGGCGGGCGCATCTGCGCTTCTTCGCGACGTTATTTGCGTGTCTTTCGCGTTACCGTTTTCGTTTCTTTTTTTGTGCTTTTCCGTACCGAGAGTTATAGGAACTGGCGACTCCCACTATCTTAAATGATAATTGATTTATTCTGTTATTATATTAATTTTCGTTATACTAATGTCTGAAGAGGGCTCAAACCGGTAGCCGAAACTTGTAACTTATTAATTGATAGTCGAATTTTTTACGAGATGTTTCATCGCTGTTAACATAATATATAATTTTATGAAAAATTAAAAATGTGGTTGACTCTTACTTTGCCCGTTGATTGAGTTTGTTATTATATTTTGAAAAGAGTCCTTTGAATTTGTTTATTTATCTTGTTATTTTTGTTATTATTAATTCTTGTGTGCTTTATTGTCATTACTATTTGCTTCTCCAAACGACCCTCTATCCTCGACCACGAACCGCCCTCTCTGTCATTTCTGAAGCTGAGCTACCGGTTGAGAGCCCGTCGACGTTCACAGCCCGTTAAAATATTGCATACAGAAATATCACGTAATTTCGAGGAAGAGTGTTTATTCGTACCTGGCGCCCAACTATTGTTTTGCGATTTTGTGTTGTCCTTAAGAGTGGCCGCGTGAAGACGCCTTTCTGTCGCGTTTCGTTTAACGTCACCCGTAATCCGATTGCATAAGGAAATCTGCTGTGAACGCGCGACGAAGTTGCGCCACGCTCGTGAGTGCGGTTGCAGCACATATGCATACATATATTATTTCTTGGTAAAGTTTATTTATAAGCACGTCAAATTCAACAAAAATCTTTTATAAATAAAATTAATTATTTCTTGTAATTAAGATAATTAAATTTTATAAAATACATGTAAAAAAAATATAAAAAAAATAAAAAGGTCTAATTTATTTAATAATGTATAATTGCATAAAATATATTTAGAAACGGTATAGCTAATGTCACGAATTTACCGTTGTATTAGAAACTTTATGATTGATCACAATAATGAGACAGAACTATATTTCAACAATTTAATCAATCCTATTATAACAATAAATGATCGTCGTTATTAAGCAAGAATTTGATATTGTAGCAATAAACCATGCAAAGAACTAAAGTATTTATTTTTAACTAAGGGATCAGTTGACCAACAATGTTAATCTTTTATACCTTTTATATTTTTTATACTGAAAAATGATATTATAACGTTTTTAACATTAAAGATATGCGAGGAATTCTTTGCAATTAGGATAACTTAGATGTACGTCTGTATGCAAACATATTATTCGTTATAACATTACACTGAAAAACTAACACAACATTTATAAAGATACGTAATTCCACATTAAATACACCATTCGAAAAAAAAATAAAAAAATAAAAAAATAAAAAAACAAATATAAAAATAATGAAATAGAAAACATATGAACGAAAGAGTGCTCTAAGCAGTCATCACAATCATCGCAGTTATCGCATCAAAAAACGTCTGTGATATTATATTTTAAACGTTAAACAAGAAATGTACGTTTACGTTACTCTGTGTGAAATTAATAAATAATATTAATCGTCGATGATTTCATTTCAGTCACAGTACAAAGAACTTAGATTTTGAAACATGCTTACTCGCAGTAATACATGGTGTACCAAGCATAAGACATAGCAGATATATTGGGTGGTCCGGAAAGTCCGTGCGGATTTTACAATGAAAAATTGTATATACGATACCTTCGTCAAAAATGAACGAAATTTAAATTAAAAAAAAGGGTTTTAAAGCTTGAAATCTCTACTTTTAAAAGCTTATCACATTTTTTAAGTTTATATGAGTTTGATAATTTTTACATACCAAAAACTACGAGCTGAAAAAGATAAAAAATTTTCTTTTCACTTTGGGGGTCTCTCACGTGCCCAAAAAAAATTTACGAAAATTTTCGACTACCCATCGTGAAAACTTAAAGCTTTCCCTACAAAATCATTTTTTAAAAATGTTCCTATAATTTTTTGTTTCTGAGTTATTCGCGAGTTAAGTAAAGAAGCATTCTGGTTTCGATTGCTCATAACTCCGATAAAAATCATCATATTGCAATTTAAAAAACAGATTCTTAAAGCTGAAACTTTGCTCTAGCGAATGATATAATCGTAACGAAAATTTCGCAACAAATAAAAAAACTTTTGAAAAATCAATGAAAAAATCCTCACGGACTTTCCGGACCACCCAATATAAACATTTCAAGGTGTGTGATTCAAAGTTTGATGATTATGTAAATTTAAATCTTTCTGCATGTCATTGTACGATTTATGGTGTTACTGATATATGTACAGCAATGTTCATCCACACATAGATGTTGTGG